CAAAAAAAAAATGATATTAAACCCATGTCCAATTTGACCACAAAACAATAAAAGCGCGCGACGACGAGAGAAAAAATAGCAGCAGATAAATGACTTGCATGGGAATGGTTGGTCTTATTTTGCCGCTCATCATCGGTTCGGCATCGTACATTTAATAAATTATCAAATGATTAATGAGTTTTGGAGGACTTTAATGGCGATGGACCAATAAAAACCACATAAACCAAACGCAATTTCATCGATGATAAACGAATTTTATTTTTACTGTGCTCTTCCTACTGCCACAGAATCAATGATTTATATAAATGAATTTGTGGATGAGAGAGCAGCAAATCACCGGATATTAGCACTTAATGGGTTATTTCTGTTTTACATCGTGAGTGCATGCAACCAGCGAAAGTTGTTAGCACGTTGTCAGAATAGTTTCTTGCAATTAATCTTCGAATTGTGAAGAAAAAGAAAAATTCAAACAGAAAAGAAGCAATCAAACGGCAATAGGAAGAGAAAAAAAACAATTGCGCATGATTCGCAATGTGCATGCGAGATATTTCATTTGCATTATGAAAGAAAAGTAAAAATTAGATATTAGGAGGGCCGCTCGCCCATGTAATTATAATTGAAGCAATAAAACACGAAGTTTTCTTTTCTTTTATCAGTTTCTGCTAATTTTTCTATATTTTTTTATCATATGGGACCTTATCCCTTGTATGTTGATTAAGTTCATAATTTCATTCATTTAAAGAAAATTGTCATTATTCTTTTTATATAAACAATAATACAATATTTTTTGTTTGATGCATAAATAATTAAATAATCCGGTGTTTTTCAGTTTAAGTTTTTTTTATTGGTAGTTAATTATTGTAGAGCTAGGGGATAAACAATATTTCTTGTTTTATTGTTTGGTGTATAAATAAATAAATTTTTTGGTGATCCCACTCTACCGCAACCTACGAAAAGTTGGCCATGTGCAAAACATGGATTTTCTAAATTCAATCCAACTGTTTTCAATGTTTGCCCTTGTGCTTTGTTGATTGTTATTGCAAATGCAAGGCGCACTGGAAACTGTAATCTTTTGAATTCTAATGACAGATCCGTGGTTATCATTGGAATGCGCGGAATTAGAACGTCCTCTCCTTTATATTTATCACCAATAATAGTTGCTTCAATTAAATGTGGCATTAGCTTTTTAATAGCCAATCTCGTTCCGTTACAAAGTTTTGGTGGATGCAAATTACGGATCAGCATTATTGGTGAGCCAACTTTCAATGTTAATATATGTGGAGGCATCCCGGGAGGTTCCAGTGAATTGAGAAACTCAATTGGATAATTTACCGCTTGATTCTCGTCTACTACGGTGTCGATTGATTTGAATTTCATTACAGCACCTGGCAGATGTAATTGAACTTGATGATTGATTTTGTTGACATTTTCATTCCTTGGTGCTAAAATTGCCCGTTCATAAAGCCAATCATGATTGCGATAATTGATCGAAACATTGGGAAACACTCTATTTTCTATATCTTTAAGTGTTGGTTCCAATTGACAAAAATTTGGCGGAAACTTTATTTCTTGTGTTTTTGTATCAACCGGAAACTTACCATCACCCATATCCAAAAGTTGTTGTGCAAATACCGCTGCTGATGCATCTTTGAGTAGATGTACACGCATGTTTGTTGTCAGCTGGATCTTTTTGACATACCTCCAAAGATGTGATGCTTTTAGGCACGCATTGACTTCATCTGCAGGCGTTGATCTTGGAATTACTGGTAATGTTTGTCGAAAATCTCCCGATAACAATATCAGTGCATTTTCCATTATTTGATCGTTTCCTCTTAAGTCTCGCAGTGTTCGATCTAATGCTTCGAGGCCTTTTTTGTGAATCATCGTGCACTCGTCCCAAATAATAATTTTGGATGTCTTCAGTATTGTAGCCATCCCTGTAGAAATTCCATTAGAGTGTCTTAGTGTAATGAATATAACAATAGTTGTGATTTTTAATGATGCAGACATACCCGATCTTTTACCAATATTGCAAGTAGGTGTTTCCGCTTGATTCAAATTTAATGGAAGCTTGAATGCTGAATGTGCAGTTCGTCCACCTTCGAGTAACGTTGCAGCAATTCCAGACGATGCTACAGCGACTGCAATTTCATTTCTTGATCGTATTTCCGCTAATAATAAATTCAGAAGAAATGTTTTTCCAGTGCCTCCTGGTGCATCAAGGAAGAAAATGCCGCCATTATCACGTTCTACTTGTTGCAGTATTGTTGTGTAAGCATGCTTCTGATCTTCTGTTAATAGTCTTTTTTTGGCTTCAACGTAAGTTCGAAGCTTAACTACATCGTACTGCTTTTCACGTAATAGGTCGTGGTCATAAATATTGTTGGTATTACGTGTTGGCGATGGCAACCCCAACTGACATAGAGATTTGTTATTGATTGACATACATACATCTTCCAGTAATATTAGTGCCTCATTGAACATCTCTTCCGAAAACTGAATTGCCAAATCAGGGTTTGCTCTGCGTGCTTGTCGAAGTATGTCTTCACTAATGCTCTCTTTATGTTTTTCCCACAAACCTTTTTAATTGGAAAAAGCGTAAATTATTGTGATTTTTTCAAACTAAATAGGTTTTATATGATTTTTACCTTTTGGATCAGATGGTGCACATGTGGTTAAAATGATTGCAAATAGCATACGTATTTGTTTTGGATGACTCGAGAGAGACGCTTCCGTTAATGTCGTATCCCAATGTTGATCATTTTCAAGTAAGCCAAGCTCTAAACATACTTCTCTATATGTTTGATACTCGACACCATTTATAGTTTTTAATGCTTGAAATGATGTCGGACCCCTAACTTCGTGAAGCAGAATTCGCAAGTAGTAACATTCAGCATAGTTTGGATGAACGGTATATACTCTTCCTATTGTGTCGGTTTCACGTATACCAGCATAATCAGCTACATATCTACCATTTTTTCTCCTGAAAAATTGTTTTTGTGTCATATCCCAAGTGTAATATTTTGGAACCTCAGGATAATGTAACGTTCTAGCGAATGCATCATTTTGACACAGTTGAAAGAAAGCTGTTAATGTTGTATTCTGTGGATGATTGGCTCTTTCTCGAGCATTTTGTTCAGTGAAGTACACTCGTTGTCCGTTCTCCAAGTGCACTGCAAGATGCATAACTGCAGGATAACGCTCATGTATATTGAAACCAAGGATGCGCCAAACAGCTTCATTACTGCTAATATATCGACCCATTTGAAATTGTGTGATTTCATCATTTGATCTATTTTCACTGGATAGACCAAAAATCGCCATATCACTGCCTTTGTTGATGTATTTGCAAATGTATTTGATTGATTTAACAGAATTGCAACATTCAATATTGATATGAGCATTGAACATTTTTGACAATAATGGGGAATATGGCACAACCCAGCTATTATCAATTTCTACATCAACACTTCTCATCTTGATAAGGGTTTTGTGTCCACCATCGTTTGGCTTTCGTCGTCGATACAACGGATATCCGTCGTTTCCAGTTTGCGTTTCTTGAATCATTTCTCGCGGATATCTTTTTGTACATTTTCCGTCTTTCATACATGGTGAATGTACGTTCAATGATCCACATGGTCCATGAATCATATGTCTACACACAATTTCAAAAAGTTTTGGATCTTCCTTTGGATCGGGTATTTCTGCACTAATAATGTCATCAATTTGAATCGGCGAAAGTTGGTTTTTCAGCCAAATCAAAATATGTGCGTGTGGTAATCCTCTTTTCTGCCATTCAATGGTATACATCCAACATGTTACTTCGCCAAATATCTTACATTTTATTATTACATCCATCAGCTTCGTTAACTTTTGTTTGAAAACTCTGACAATGATGTCATGGCGATCTGCTGGGGATTGTCCTGGTAACAGCAACTCTTGTATTTCAGACCATTTTGGGTTGCATGTAAACGTGATGAACAGACCTGGTTTTCCCTTTTTTTGGCAATATGTTAAGCCATCTTGAGTGTACTCTTGCATGTGCCTTGGACTTCCGATATATGTAGATGGTAGTATAACCAATTTCCCGATATCACCTACATTTCCATCATTTGCAATTGAATCTCGCAAATGAATGTATTCTTCTACACGTAGTTTCTTCTGATTTAATCGTATAAATAAAAGTCGTTCACTTTCCATTTTAGCATACATATCAACGATGAATTGGTTGAAAAGTTGTCGACACTGTAAGATGTGAGTTGTTTGATTGGCTCTCAACATCATACGATATGCATAAAAATCCATACACGAAACCTATAGAATAATGAATTAAATTTAACTCTGTCATTATTTTACAACAATCAAGTACCTTTTTATTATTTTGGTCCGGTTTTCCTGTGTTGGGATCAATTCGCTTTATTTGAAAGTGGTACCCATCTTCTCCTTGCCAGAATAACAATGGATATTGAAGAGCATCGTACCATCGGTGTGTTTCAGCCACGCGTTGTAAGCTTGAATCTCGTTTCTGAATAACAATATCTCGTTTTTCAAACTCAGTTCCAACTATAACTACTGCAACTTCGTCAATCGTTGGGACGTTAAATCGACGTTCATGCTCTCCAGTTGGTGCTTTATCTGCTCTTATGATGACTTTGCAATTATTTAAAGGCATTTGTTCCATTGCGACTTTGAACGACTGAATCAAATGGTTGTGCTCATGGAATAATGCTTGTAAATGTGCAACAATTTCACGTTTCATTCCTTTAATAACAGCACAACGTTGATCAATCTCCTTTTCATAATCACCCATAAAATAAATCTGAAGAAATTTAGACTCTTCTTCAGGTACAGGCAAAAGTGAACCAATTGTATGGTAAACTTGTCCTTGAACTTTGAACGTTGGCATATAACCATTAGCGCCAACAATTTCCGATGCTCCAAACGACGTCATTTGAAAGCATGAATTGTACTTCCGAATGTTTTGTTGGAAGTGCCTTGATAATGGATCAGTACCCGATACAAATGTTCGAAGTGGTTCAGGCGGATCATTCAACGGTGGCAACACAACTTTTCCATTTGAACAACACATTCCGGGTGACTCTTTATGGAATTTAAGTGCATGGCAATGCAAACAGAGACTATCCATTTTTCCAATTGAAACATTTGGATGCAAACTTCATGTAATCAGAACCACATATTCGATTAATCAATATTACAAAAAACAAACATACGACGAACATATACGACAAAAAACAGCAAACACAAACCTATAATCAATCTGTTTGTCATATTTGAATGCTTCATTGTTCAAATTTGTCCAAACAGATTTCCTGGATGCTACTGCTCTTTCGCGGTTTAATTTTAGGCGAACTTCACGTTGAACAGATGTTTCAGCTGCTCTTAATTCACTCTTTCTTAATCTATCAGCTTCTAGGCGAACTTTACGATTATCAACAGTTTTATTTGCTCTTATTTCACACATTCTCAAACGCACTGATTCCAAACGATTTTCACGATTATATGGTGTTTCGTTTGCCCTCGATTCACACATTTGCAAACGCACTGATTCTAAACGATGTTTACGTGTATATGGCGTTTCCTTTACCCTCTTCGTTTTTACTTTTCTTGCCTTCAATGTATTCTTTCCAACGTGAAATTTCTTTGTCGGAGGCATTTTGTAAAAAAACGGAATAAAATTCACTTTCAAAACGACAACTTGTCACACACTTTTCCTTGTATATACATTAATTAATCAAAACAATTGAAATGACAGAAAAACAATGTATACTATATTTCATTTTATCTGACAGGCAGTTTATTGAACTCACATAGAAAGGAAAACAAATGAAACAATGTGTTAAATGGTGTTGAACCATGTTTACCGGTCAAAACGAACTTTTTAAACCATCTAACTCGGACCATCATGGTCGGAAATCATGGTTTACCACGGTCCATTCTCGCCTTTTTTACAATAAAATGTGCAAAATACAGGCAAAATACGGCTTTTGACCATAATGGCCGTGTTAGACCACGATGACCGACCATGATGTGGCTTATATTCACCGCCTGATCAATACCTTTCCAACGGTACCACTATAACCGTGCTTATAAACCGAGTTAAATGATGTTGGACCACGATGGACCATGTTGCCTAACCGCAATAATTATGTTAAATGGTGTTAGACCATGTTTACCGGTTAAAACGAACTTTTTAAACCATCTAACTCGGACCATCATGGTCGGCAATCATGGTTAACACGGTTTACCACGGTTCATTCTCGTCGTTTAACAATGAAATGTGCAAAATAACGGTAAAAATACGGTTTTTTTACCATAATGGCCGTGTTAGACCACGATGGCCGACCATGATGGTGCCTATGTTCACCGCCCGGCCGAGACCTTTCCAACGGTATAACTTTTATCCGGATCGGTTGAGGCGTTTGGACGCCAACCCGGAACAAACAAACAGACATACTTTCGCTTTTATAGATATAGAAGAAGATTGAGAACAAAAATGAAACGTTTTATAATTATATATTTATACATTATCATTTTGGTTTTGGTAAGTGAATTAATTTGTGTTTTATAAAAGTTAATTATAATTGCATTTTTAATAGGGTCCAGTGATTTCTGCTGACGATCCAAAGAGTCCATTTCCACCATCCGAATCAATGCTACATCGATATAATCGGCATGCCGTTGTTGCCGATTCAAAGCAATGCAGTAAAGTGGGCAGGTATTGAATAAATTATACAATTCGTACGTACAAAATAATGATAATTTCAAATTGCCAGCGACATACTATCAAACGGTGGAAATGTTATTGATGCTGCTATCGCCACAATGTTTTGCAGTGGAATTGTGTCAGTCGATAGCATGGGAATTGGCGGCGGATTCATTATGAATATTTACAAAGACAACAAATTTTATACATTAAATTCAAAGGAATTGGCACCACTTTCAGCTACAAAAAATATGTTCAAAACACCATCAGACTATGATATTGGCGGGATGAGTATTGCAGTTCCGGGTGAAGTAAAGGGATATTGGGAATTATACAAGAAATTCGGTTCTTTGCCATGGAAATCATTGATTGAACCGGCGAAAAACATTTGCGAAGAAGGCATTACCATTAAGGATCATATGTATAATTCTTTGGAATCGCATCACTATGATGACCAGCATTTGAGGTAAATATTACACGTATTGCTTTTATTCAATTAATTTTTATTGTCTTCTTCAGAAACACGTTCTTCAATATATCTGGCGGTCAACGTTTTACTGGTGAGCGCGTAAAATTGGCTCCGGAATTATGCAAAACATTACGAATAATTGCCTCAAATGGTGGTGATGATTTTTACAATGGGCATTTGGCCGAATTGATAGAAGCCGATTTGCGTGATATTGGTAGCATTATTACAAAAAAAGATTTGCAATCGTACAAGTGAGAAAAAGTTTTAATTTTTTTTGATAAACTTTGAATACTATATTGTACTATAGCTATAGCAATAATTTCCAATTCGGAACGATCATGGCATTTTTTCATAAATCATTTGCTTCAAAAATGTTGATATAGAGTACGTTGGGAGGAAACATTATCGATGCCGATTGGTAGTAATACGGTTCATCTAACACCATCAGCTGGTGGTCCGCTAGTGGGTTTTATTCTGAACATTCTGCGTGGATATAATTTGACCACAAAATCGATCCAATCTGAAGGTGATCTAATTCGTACACATCATCGTATAATTGAATCCTATAAGTATGGTAATTTTAAGTTTTTCTTCTATACATATGGTCCGCGTACTGTTTCTATAGAAATTCAAATTTTAAATAATAATTTTACACAAAAAATTCTTTTCTTAAGGTTTTTTTGTTATGATAGTCTATGTTGTCATACTAAAGCAAATTTTAAAATTAATTCTGACCCATTTTCGTTTAATCGATATTTTAAGATATCGAACACAATTGGAAGACTCCGATGCTCCATCGCCGGTGAGTTTTCGCCACATGTTTAATTGTTTTCTTACAAAAATTCAGAAGTTCAGACAAAAATTATCTTATCTAAAAAAAATAGTTGATCCGAAAAATGCTGTCCCCAGTTTTTGGTCATGAAATTCGTGCGAAAATCAACGACTTTAAAACATATACTGATCCCAAGCATTATGGCGGCAATTTTATAATTATTGATGAAGGGACATCACATATCTCGATTCTGGCACCAAACGGCGATGCAATTTCTGTTACTGCGTCGATTAATTCGCTGTAAGACACCACTTTTTTTTATAGATGAAGAACATTTCACAATTGCTTGTAACTATTTTAGTTTCGGTTGTGGAAAATCCGGCAAACGAACTGGAATTATTTTCAACAATGGAATGAATGATTTTGCGGTAAACCATATGGAAAATATAGAGTCGACACAACCATCACCAAATAACTTTGTAACCAAACAAAAACGAGCAACCTCGTCATTCAGTCCAACCATCGTGACTGACAGGAGTGGAAATGTTCGGTTTGTAATTGGTTCCTCTGGTGGCCCCCAAAATTATAATGGCTGTATCAATGGTAAATAGAAATTGATTACTCATTCTTACATATTTTTTGTATTAAATTCTGCGCCAAAAATAAATAAATTTAGATTATTGCACGAGTCTTATGGTTTAATCAGAATATTAAAGAAGCTGTCGATGCTCCGCGAATTTATCATCAGTTATTACCAATGCAGGTGGATTATCAATGCGGCAATATAAAAGTACGTTGGGTCGAGATACATTTGATTTGCTTTTCATCAAAATAAATATTTTTTTTTTGTTTAATTCTCTTGATAGAAATTGGTCTTGGTACTTGAGTCATTGGGTCATGAAATGGAGCGATACTATAATCGTGGCACAGTTGTTAATATTATTGAAAGAAGTCAAACCGGAATATTTGCAAACGCTGATTATCGAAAAGGCAGCGATGCATTTGGAATTTAATAAATGATGACGAAAGTAATTTTCATATGGTTTTTAGCTTTTATGTGAAATTGTTAGAAAATCTTCTATTATTGAAAACATACCGATTATTCCATAAAATATTTATTGCATACCCAAAAAATGTAACTGTAAAAGAAAAGAATAAAATGCATCTGATGTGCGATAGAAAAGCCAAACCACGTCTGATGATTGTTTTTCGATTCGATCGATTGAATCCAAAATTATAATGTGAAATGGAAATGATGCGATGCATGCGCTATGTTCAATTACATTGAAAATTATTGTATCGTTGCCAACGGAGAAAGAATGATCCATCTAAAGTGAGCATAGGTTAAGTGAAATGGATGTGGTCAAATGGAATGGCACAGAGAGAATAATACCAAAAGGCTATGCATAATATTATAATACAATGTTGTGTTGCATTCTTCCAAGCTCATAATGATAACGCTGAAAAAGCGCAAACATATACGATGCTCACGCATCTAATTTTTAACATTGGAAATATTTATAATTCGTCGTTTTGCTTGTTGGCTTTATTTCTTTTATTTCGTTCGATGAATAGCCATGTGTTCTGCAGTCGTGGTCACATTTAAAGTTGGATTTTTGTTGTTGTGCCATTCTTTAATTCTTATTCTTGTTGTTTGTTGAATGTAGCAAATAGACAAAGTGCCCGCACGACCAAACGACCATGCCTGAAGAATGAAAGACACTACAAATCTAATAGCGATCGCAAAATTGTTATGTGCACACTGCACAAAGATAAATATATACGATTTAAAAAAAAAACTACATGATGTACGGTACCAAATGATGTCTTCTTCTTCACAGCACTCGCTCGTTCATCGCCCCTCGCATTCAACAGAGTTTCTATTGCAGTTGGCCCATCAATGGCTCTCTCTCCGATAGTGGGACAGCCAATACTGTATCATCGTATTGTAGTTTTTGGCTTTATTTGTCGTTCTATTCAGACAACCATAACGAAAAATGACGACAAAACTGAGTGTGCTTGACTTCGACTTCGACTTCGGCCAACACATAAATTTTTCAATCTATAATTTTCATTGCGTTGCATTGCATAATATACATACATACACATGAGTTAAGCATTTATTTGTTCATAGCTTTATTTTCTCTCTCTCCCTGTATTTTCTTTGTTCGACATACATGTACTTTGTCCACTATCCACAACTAGATGGATTTTGTGAGTTCCAATAAGAATAGTTTATATCGTCGTGAAAGCCTATGATTTGAATTCTCATGACCATTCTTATGCATCTCTTTATTTAACATTGCTTTGAACTTGAGTCTACGTGCTTTAATGATTTATTCTGGTATTTGCGTGCTTTTCATGTTCCGCACATTCATTCTATCTCTCTATCAATTTCATTTGTTGCCTTTCGCCCGTGCAACGTTTTTCTTTGATTATGATTATTTTTCAATTACCTGAATTCAGTGACATTCACTATTCTTTTTCAGTTTTCTGATCAAATATTATTTGCGCGCCCATAAATAAATAATCACTACAATATGAGTCGATATTGCTAGAAGGAAATCTTAAACGTTAAAATAACGTTAATCCGTAATAAAAGTGGCCATGAAAGTGGTTATTATGTGTGTTTGAAAGTGTGTGTATATGCACTCTGCACCATTGCACCCACAATGAGTATAATTACTAATATTTTAACTGCTTACTTGTTAGTTGTTTATCAAACTATCAAACATAATAGTTCTAAAATGCAAAACATCATAATTTTCTAATGCAATTTTATGTTTTCATCATTATAACATCCATATTTTGTTTTTCGTTATCGTTGGCATAAAATTCAATCAAATGAAAAAATACATATATATGAATATATATTTATTTAATGACGTGGGCAGACAAAAATTCTCAAGAAAGTGATTGCGTTTTTATTTTCACCACAGAAAGTTGAAACCATCAAATCAACAACAAGTCGTCATGTTTCAAGTCTAAAAGAAATCCACGTTCATGAATACAATTAAAGCAAATCGGACAGATTCTTTCGGTTTTTGTCTCTTCGCAAAAATTACATAATAACATAATAAATGTTATTATGTTCAATTATTATTCTAGCACGTATAGTTGTGTCATTGTATCGTTGATCCGTTGACACCACATACTAAGCGGAGGAGAAACGAGTAGAAGAAAACAACAGAGATAAAGAAAAGAGAGAAAAGAAAGAGCGTACTAACATCTTGTGACAATTGTTGTGAATGCCTTGTTTATAGATGTTTTTACGACATTTGATATTTTCCGTTGTTATAGGCATTTCCAACAATGCAGCGTTTGAATGGAATGTCGAGATATTTCCGTGACATGTGTGTGCTGGCGTATAGAGTATTCTTCGAATATTTAATACCTTCAAACATCACTGTCATTATCATTTATTAAACCGTACGTGTTAGTATTTGAATTATTTTGAGTTTTATATTTCCAATCATAGATTGTCACATTGGTCGCATTACCATCCTCCCCGGTTGACAAACCCCGATCAATTTTTCCCTGCGAGAATGTAAGTTATACTATAGTACCTATAGGTAGAATAATATTTTGGAGGCTGCTCCTATTGATTCTTAGACGTGGCCCTCAGGTTTGTCAGTCTTAGGTCCGATGTTTGCGATCAATTTCGTTAGTTTAATTCAAATGAAGAAATTGCTTTAAACCTCCCATAAATATGACCATCAAGTTTGCAACTCATAATTCAAGACACAATTCTTTAGAATATGGAATTTTTTAGAAAAATACCCGTTGATTGATCAAACATATCAATCAATATTGCAACTTGTATTATAATAGTGCTTCGATGAAATCATAGTATGACAGACAGCTCATATTGCGAATTTAGAAAATGAGTGAAAATACACTTATGTCGATAATTTTGGCATTGAATATAGAAATAAAGAATAAAGCTCACCAATCCATAAAAGTATGTTTACCAATAACTCACCTCATACAATTTTCATTATTAAATATAATTTACGGTGAGTTAAATGCAACCAATGCATCAATATGATTAAAAGCTGTCTATATGAGAAAATCGGTGTCGCTAATTTTTTTTTAAATTAAATATCCAAATAGAATTTTGCCAAGGTAAGTTGTTGTTTATTTGAGGACATCCGCGTCTTGAAAATTAAAGAAAAAAAACTGTCAAATATCATGATTTCAAACTCTTGAACTCATCTCCTGGTATTGAACCCATATGCATTCGGCACCAAGTAAATATTTAATTGTTTGTTCGATTTGTTTTGTGCGTGTGTGAAAATGTAATTAAGTTTTTAAAATTCCTCATATTTATTGTTTTATAATAATGTCTGTTGCTACTGGTTTTCTGTCATAATTTTCTTCATGCAACACGATCATCCTACACAGCAAAAATTCCATTATTATGCAACGATGAATTGACTGAACGTCTACTTGAATAGATCAAAAGCATTTTTCCACATATTCCATCCTTTTAAATCGATCGAAAATTTGCAGCCACCAAAAGATAAAACGAGACTAAAATCAGCGAATGGAAGAAAGATGATTTTTTGAGCACACATTTCTTGGAGAAATTCGAATGCAACATCGTGCATTATGTAAATTAAACTGTAAAAAGTGAAACGGTACAAAGTTTCTAATAAATAAACAAAACATCTTTAGTACAACGATTGCGACCGTAAGCGTGCGATCGAAACTGGTCGTCAGCAAAGAGTGCATGCACACTCAAGGATGCGCTCAACACTAAACTTTAATTCAATACAGGCCATCAAACGAATGGTATAAACATACACACGAAACGGTGTTCGCTTTATCAAAATCACATGATGATTATGAACATTTTCTCCATCGTTTGCGGTGGTACTGCATCGATTGGAAATGTTTGTTTGTTGTTTTTTTTTTTTTTTGCATAAGATTGCCCATCAATCGAGTGGCAAAAACTAAATCAAACAACTCATTAAGCGAACTGCTTGTGGGCGATGATGTTGAATGTATTCATCGATCGACGACTAAGCGCAAAACATTCTCATTATGCAAACAACTTTGAACTCTGCAATTGCAATATATCATACAAACGACTGTAAATATATTTGCAAATGAAACTTCGGCTGTGGTATTTGTTGTTGTTGTTGCTTACATCACACCCAAGACGAGCATAAAACAGATGTACCTTCAAAGCTCTGACGCTAAATAAAGAATCATCCATGTTTCGTTTTATTACGTCCGCTTTGCATTCAAATGCATTGATTTAATTTTATTTGACTGCACAATCGACACACTCGATTGCATTACACAGGATACACCAGAGGGACGCACTTCAACTAAACCGAGGTAAAAAAAGAAACAAAAACAAAGAATATTTCATTATTTTTTATAAGCAACGTATTGTAATGATTTTGAATTTTTATCGTTTTGCATGGTCATACATATTCAAATTTGGACCACCAAATTAATGCCATGCCCTTAAACTTAGTTCAAAACATTAAAAGAAAAACCCACAATCATTACAAAAAATACGCAAAATACTAGTTCAAATGCAGTGCATCGTCTGCATTGAAAATAGCATTGCAAAATGAATGTTGCTGTGTGTGTACCTTTGCTGACACATCGCATTTACTCTTGGGTTGGATTGGTTGCGTTGAGCTCGCGAGAGATGCAATATTAAATTGTTTCACTGTTCTTGCGATGCATTTGAGGTAGCAAACGCAATTGAACGTATCGCAACTTATCAGCAGCACCAATAAAACACTATTTTGTCTAGTAAGCAAAGTGAAACGCTTCGGCACACCATCGTATCGAACCGAACGAACAACAGAAAGACAACGACGATACCAAAAAAAAAAACATATTAACAGACAGAATAGAATGGCATGAAGAGAAACAAAACAACGAACATACAATCGCCTTTACCGTTTGCGCCGAAACACTGAATGCTGTTAGCGTATTTTCAACGAGGCATTGCATTCAGTTGAGTATTGTATCTCATTGTTGGCGCACGAACGAAAATTGTTTCGTTGTTTCTGTCGAGCGTTACGATTAATGTTTACCACAAATTTGTTTGATGATGATTTGATCTCTTGATGGTAGTAAAATACTTTAGTGAATTGTTTTAAAGTGAAATAGAGCGATCTACTTTATTCATTTACACGTGGATGGCTATTCTATTCTATAGTTCATCAACGGCCAAACGTATTTGTTATTTTACACACACACACACACAGAGAGAGAGAATAATCAGATTTATATGTGAGTTGTGAGTTATAATTGTGAAATTAAAATAAATGGATTTGGTGTACAATTGTGGAAAAGTGTGATTTCGAGAAAAAAAGAGAAACAAAAACAAAACTTACACGGACCGAAATGATATGTTGAAAAAACGGCGGATGCATTAAAAGTGAATTAAATCTTAAAAGAATTTGCATACACACCGCATCATATATTGATTACTTTCATCAACACAAATATAAGAGATTACTATTTATAAACTTCATGCGAGTAAATTTCATCGTCTGTCATTAAACAGTTTATTGAATTCATTTGTGTGCATTGTTGTAAAAATCATTTAACATTTTTTGTGTCCCGAATTTTGAAGCAAACATTGAATTTCTCGTTCACAAATCGAAAGTGTTTTGAATGATTTTTTTGTGGTGCAAAATGCAAGAAAAACCGGTTATGAACATGATGACAGTGTACATGAATTTTTGAAAAACTTTGAAAACCTCATTCGCCAATTTTAAAACAAGTATTACAAAGTGAAAAGCAATCATTGGCTAGCTACGCACATATAGATTAATTTCAACGTTGACCGATTTGATATAGGCATTTAATTAGGCCAATTAGTGTTTGCTATACATTCATCAAGATATCGCCGATATCAGCTATCGATAGAATTTAAAATTGAGTTCTCCGACAACATAGTACACCGATTGTACTTTGAACTGTTCCGATAACCTAAATTTTGAACGAATATTTTACAACCCGTTGATAATCATTCGAAATAACATCAAAATTAAAAAAAAAAACAACAACCAACAACAACAATTGAAGGATAGTGTGGATTGGTATATGCTTTAATATACTTTGTGTGTGCGGGGCATATATGAGAAAGCGTACGAAAAACCATATATGAATTTTAACAGAAACTTAAATCATTGCACGCCATGTAAGCGAATATACGGTTGAAACACATTAAAAAGGTAAAACTTTTGAACATTGAATATTTCATCAAGTTTGCAGCTGCGGTATGTTCCGTTAAATTCGCAGTGTGCTCATAAAATTTTCGTTCTTTTTTTTATCTTTCATTGTGCCGTACCTCAGTTTTGTTTTTATCTGATTTTACTTTCTGTTATCCATCCATCGCCACGCATTTCAAATCATTTTATATATCTATATATAAAAATGCATTTGCGTTTTTGTTGCATTATTGCTATTCACAACGATGATTGTACAATTAAGAAAAAAAAAATCACTTTTGTTGCTTCAGACAAAATATGTGTGCAGAAAGTTAAGTATAGGCATATTTTTTAGGTATGCAATCGGAATCACATTTTCAGCTAGCAAAACGGAAAACAACTCATATTCTAGATTAAACAGAAAACTGAAGGAACTGTCGTTCATTTCATTCTAGTTTTCTATAAAACCGGAACAAAGTGATTAGTTTACATTTTCAGTTATTCTCCCTTTGAACATGAATTAAGATATTTTACACACACCCCGTAAGCAACGCCAACCCCCTCATTGTATTTCGAAATCTATATTTACTATGGCATTTGGAAAATAAAATCGATATCAAATATATATTTAATAAACTCATATCGCCTTGATGGTTTTCCATATATTCCAGCTAAAGGCTCCAAAAGCCATTCTCGTTACACGCTCATTACCAGAAAAACCGACCAAAGGTAAAAAAAGAAGAAACTTTCTAGAACGCTCGATTCGGTCGATGACCCCGGCATGAATTGAATATTATTTGGTGTGTGCATATCTCTCGATGAAGTACATGCGTATTGAAGATTTAACCACGAGGATAAAGTTGATATCGAATATCCAAATACAACAATCGAACAATTCTAAAATGTTATATGACTAATGGAACACACTAGGGAACACATATGCGGGTTTAAATCGTTTCATTTCACATTTTTTTTTCTCTCTCTATATATATATATTTTACTTGTAAAAACGCAGCAATGGCAAGCGATGAGACAATGTGTAAATAATGTGACACTCGAATGCTTTCATTGCCAATTTATTATTTGTTACAACTGCTTTTTTAGATCATTAGCGCAGAATTTATTGCTTGCGATGACCAGCTTAAGACTCTCTTACGAAGGGGGAGTTGGTGCAAAGTCGCAGCTTTGATTATGGCACAGCTGCAACCAAAAGAGACATTAATGACATTCATAGCTCATATTCTGCGTTAACTTTGTATCTGTATTTATTTTAAGACCAAAATATTCAATATTTAATATTGATTGGCGATATTGAAGAATTAAAATGGAAATGGTCGAAACTGTGCTTTCGAACCTCTGCAGTAACTTACTAAATATATCAAGAAAGATAGTCGACAAATGTCTTTAAGGTTTTGGCCATCACAGACGGGGTGGAACACTTAAACCTCCTTAAATCGTCCGAGTCATCCTCGAGAGTTGAGTTTTTGAAGAAAAAAAAACTGATGACATTTGTTCAGCTAATCACTTTTGTCAAGGACATGTAAATTGTTGGTGTTTTTGACGAGAGAAAAAATCTTTCCGATTTGTAAGGGCTTTTAATGGGCCTCTCTTAACTTTTCGACCATGTTTATTTGAAGAGATTTCAAACTTCACTAAATACACTTTTCGGCTATTTGTTACCAAAGACATAAATTCGAAAGTGCAGTTTCGGCTATTCCCACTTTTATTCTCGATGTTTATGTTTTTGGTATGGCGTACATGAGAAAGTTTGTAATTGGATTTACTTCGGAATTGCCACCGAAATCAATTTTAACTTTTGCAAATTAGTTTTAAACAGAGTGCTTAACAAAAAAGTTATGTCTTTATTTTTAACGCCTGCACTTTCAAAAGTAAAGTAAGTGCATACAACTTTACCCCACCTTCCCTTAAATGGTACGTTTCGTAGCAACCGAATCTATTGAATATATATGAGAAAGAGAATGTTGCGTTTAACACACACGGAAATCCCTTGAATAACAAAAAAATAAACAGTATTGCGGCCGATGCATATAATTACCGATACAATTTCCCTTATTCTACAGCGGATTTCACTTCATATGCGATTTACAGGAATTGAATCAAAGTGAATTCAGTTTTGTTATTAAATACACCATTTTCCAAAGTAATGTCAATAACCTATCGACTTTTATTCATTTTTTTCAAAATTGTTCTATTTATGTTGGTAACTGGCGGATGGATAATTCAAAAGAAATCTCATGTTTATAGAAACAAAATTAAAATTAATTACTATCTATTTTCGTTCACACTTTTAGATTAATGTCGTACCTAGTTATGTGAATTAATCACCATTTACTTCAAGATATTTTTTGGACAGAGAAGAATAGAAAAAAAGATGATGAATGAAGAAAAGAAAATGGATTATAGTCAAAATATTACGATCAAAATAAAGCAGAAGACACAATATCCACTTTATTTGCTATATGAAATGTTATACCCAAATCGTAAACCCTGATCTCATTAAGAAGGTATCATCTTCGCGACATTTAAAAAGTGTACATTACTGTCATGGAAAGCGCTTAAAATTTTATGTGCCAATACCACTTCATTGAATGAGTTATTGGGCAATTGGAGCGAAGATAATGTCGGGAATATCTATTTACATGAATATTTAATATACTTTTCGGCGAAATAGGTCTCAATGGCATCATAAAATACCTCATGACACACGTATGTTTGTTTCTATTTTGAAAGTGTCATATGATTATCAAAATTCAACTCAATCTTCTGAAAATCGGCTGAGATTTTTGGAAGAATTATGAATGAAGCACATTTAAGTCTATCCAACCAAAATTCCGTTCAAAATCATTTATGTGTAAAATCAAAAAGAAAAGAAAAAAAAATATAAGAAGATGCGACGAAAGAAATCAACACGAATAAAAAAAGGTTGGAAAAGAACAACGAAGAAAGATCACTGGTAATGTGGATATACACGATTGTCGTCAAACGTTAAAACGAGTACATCGAAGCAGATTTTTTTTTTATTTCAACAGAATCATATTATATATATGTTATGCGGTTCACATTGAATGAACGAAAAAGAGTGCCTCATCCATGTCTAAAGGCACACAAAATATATAGTCGCAAATCTGAAGAGCAGCATTTTTGTTGCTTTAAATAAAAATGAAGAGAGAGAGAGGCAGAGAAAAAAATGTATTGGTACCGGTTCAATTCGTTGCTACCATATTTGTACGTGAGATCTTTTAAAGATTAGTATGCTTAAGCTCACTACAATAGTGAGATGAAAAAAAGAGAATCAAATCTATTTATATAACACATATTGGGTTACATACTGAATATTAGCAAATGCGAATGGTGCACTCACACAGATCGTGCGAGACATTCTTTTTTTTTCTCGGCTTACTTTAGTGCATTTGTTTGCAGTACAATCTCTCAGGTGTGTTGTTTATTTTCATAAAACAATAATTGCATTGAAAAGAAATTCTATTGAATCGCTGTCGTGTCATTTTTATTGTGAACATATTTAAACTTTACTAGATGTTCTATACGATTTTTGTCCGTTTTTTTAATTATATTGTTGGTCGTAAATACGATTTGATATGAAATTTCCTATCTGATTCACTCGTTCTCTCGCTCTCTCTCTCTCTCTCTCTCTCTCTCAAAATTGTGTTACGATTAATAAATTTTTGAATGTCTACTTGTCTCAAACCTTTTACTCATTTAATAATAAATCAGTTCCCTTTGGCATGATATGTGCATATCCACTGTTGAATGCTACATTCGGAGGTACATATATTTATGTACAATACTTCGGAAATGGTTTAAAATTTTAAAATATTCATTTTGATACCAAAAAATACTCCATTTATATAGCCTGATCCTCTTATTTAATTTATAAAGTTTGCGCTATAAGTATTATGCACGCTTGATTGACCATTGTTGCGCATTGTGGCCATTTGAAATCCAAAAAACTCTGCAAATAGAACATTTTACTTTTTTCGCAAAAAAAAAAAAAACACTCGACAAGAGCATTTTTTTCGATTGCGAATAACCATAGCGTAGGTTGTTTCACTTCATAGCAAAAACATGTCAAGTCAGATAAACATAAAACAAACAATTTATTTCATACTCGACACCACAGTTATTGATAGTGGACTTTTATGATGGATGCAAAGCACACTTAAAGCGGAATAACGAATGGAAAAGCGTCAGAAGAGTGCTCATTTTTTTTCTGAATGGTAAAATTAAATTATATTAATGGTATATTAAGGCTGGCTGTGACATTTAAGCTCACAGAATACGCTAATTGTATTACTGTGTTGATATTTTCTGTGAATCAATAAATGTATGTTTATTGAAAGTGTTAAATAAAATGAAATTAGTTTGAAAATTAAACAAATGTTGTCCCTGAGGCTATTAAGAGCACGGAATATCTCTTAAACAAAATCTTCATATCGTGTGCAAAATGTGCATTTAGTGTAGATTTATTAACGTCGGTTCAGAATATTTTGTTTTTGTGATGTCTGTTATATGTTGTGTCTTGTTCAAGTTATCCTGCTGATTGAAGTCGCTTTCGTCATCTAAAACGGAATGTATGTTGAGTTGGAGGCATAAATCAAATGAATTCAGGAATTCATTCACGTCCACCGTATTTCATTTACACTCATGCCATTATTAAGGATCCTTAATTATTCGGGCTGTTCGTCTTTTTCATCTCAACCCGTTCGATGCCGTTTTTTCACTATTCCATCACAAAGAGACGACTGTATTCGTCTTCACTTGTTTTCTTTTTTCGCATCGTATGTTTGAATATTTTGTGTGCCACACACGAAGGCGACGACGCCTTTTATCGATTCGTTTCACACGTTTACCTCGAATCACTCAAGAATATACATAAAAGCCAGTTAGTGAAGTATTCGTTAAATTCGACATCGATCTGGCCTTTTAACACGCACAAAATGTTAAACTAAATTCAAAATGAGAGATACTATGACAGAGACGAACAA